CCCCCCCCCCCCCCCCAACGGAAAGCTCCTCAACGGCAACCTCCCTTCACGCCACACCCACCACCATCCCGCTTGTTCGTGAGCGCACGGCTGCGGCTACGAGATCGGACTTCCACCCACGATGTATGTACAGAAAGGGGATGATGGTGGGTCTGCCGTCGAAAAACAAGCTACGGCAGAGCATCATCACGCGAGGAAAAACTACATAAACGACTAACAGGCGTCATCGACCCCCCCGCTTCCCTGTTTGTCGCCTTTCCCTGTCGTCTTCGTCTTCCGGGGGGCCTGTGCCCAGCCCATCCATCTTCTTCGCCTCCATCGGGGAAGACAGCGTGGCGTCGTGTGAGAACTTGACACCAATGGATGCCTTGTCGGGAACATACATTGGAGAGTCGATCAAAGTGATGGGGGGACTCGCCAACTTGTCGGTGATGACGATCGCAGCTTGCACGATGTGCCGATGCACGTCGAAGCAGCGATGCATGGATGGGACGAGCGTCGGCTTCGCCGTCAGTTGGACGAAGACCCAGGCGTCGTAATGCGCGCGATGATCGTCACCCGCCATCCGCATGAGCCACATGGTCGCCGCAAGCATCATCCGCATCGCGTCGGCCATGGTCTTCAACCTTTCATGCGATACACGGCCGCCGTCCGTCGCCTCCGCGATGATCACGGCGCTCGTGAAAGCCCCCAGCAGTCGCTGGATGCTCGCCTCCTGATAAGCCGCCAAGCCGTCGTCCTCCTGCCTGTCTTCGACGTCGGTGCCCATGAACCACAATGGCAGCTTCATATCCATATCGAGCGTGTGGTGGACGACCATCAGGCTCACACAATAACGCCAGTCCTCCCCCATCCACATCGCGCGAGCGATGTCGGTGGCCGCGCGGTTGAGTGCATACTGGTACGCCGCGTGGTACCCCCGTTGCCTGTTCTGAGACTTGAAGACCCACCCGTGTATCACCCGCAAAGCGATCCCCTAAACCTTCAACGCCCTCTCCTTCGCAGCGTTTAACTCCGACTCGTCCGCGATCTTGTGCTGCGGGATGTTGTTGTGAGGCAAGATGATGCTGCGACGAATGGGCGGAGGCTGCTCTTCCCGCGCCACAGCCACAAGATAACCGTGCACCTCCACGATCAACTTGACGATGACAAATCCCTCCCTTTCGTTCCAGAAACGGAGGTCATCCACCCACAGCTTTGCCGCCGCCTCCATTCCCTCCCGCGTATTCCGCTGGCGCAGCCTATTCACCAATGCCTCGTCGTCGTCCCCCTCCCCCGCGACATCGCCTGCCTTCACCCCTGTCGTCGCCCCTTTCCCCGCGTTTGATCCCCCCCCCCCTGCTGCGTAGCCTGCCCTCGCCACCCCCACTGCGGGTGACCCCCC